GCGAGTGATGTCGACCCATCTCGGATATCAAGAGAAGTTCAACACCCTATCTGATCTTGCATCAGCATGATGACCGGCAGTCTATGAACTTGAATCCTCGTCATCTCCTACTCGGACCCCCCAAATGATCCTGTCGATGTCATAACAGTACTCACTCCAGCTTCCACAACTTTGATCACTTGTGTTTAATCATTACGATTTTTAGGTCCCATCTAAATCCCCTGTCATCGCGCAAAAATAAATCTCATAGTCAAGTTAACCTGATCCGATAAAACGGGCCTGTCTAAGGGTGTTAATTTCCCAAGGGCCACAGTAAGTCTATTGAAATTTGGTCGAGGAGCCGTGAATGGCTTTGAAGTGGTAATTGATAGAATATTTACCAGGTTTATGCCACTTGGTAGAATTCCGTGACAGAAGTCTTTTTCGTCCCAAGTTTAGGGCCTAACCAACAAGGCGTCTCATAGGACGGTCGTTAGGCGTGAAAAGACCACTATATACAACCTTATAGCATCAATCTTATTATTTCGGGCCATTGATGCCAAGAAAAGTAATGGTCCCCCATAGAGGACTCGTTTCGTATCTAGTTTTCCACATAGAAATCGAACCAATCGAATGTTGAACCAAAGTTGATCCAGAAATTGTTTTGATGACTGTGATACTTCGTTGGTACGAAATTCACCTGGTCGATATTTCGTCTCACGTTTTGAAACTTTTTGCCTGCAGAAGCCTTATAAGCATAATGATCTTATTAGCATAATGATAAAAAAACGGATAAGTCTATATATTTTACCACGGTTTCTATTAATTTACAGACATTGAATTACATTCGACTCTATATATTTGTTAACGTCGTTTACTAAACACATTCAAGCCGAAACAAACGCTAAGCCATTATGGCGCCACTCATAGTGAAAGACATGTATTTCATGTCATATAAAACATTTTAATACGTAATCTATATTATTGTTCATAAAAGATTAAAGAATGTCATTAAGGTAGTCATTCCTTGGCCGAGGTATCTACCACAAGTGATATATTTATAAAGCCTTAAATGTAGATACAGAGAAAGTAACAAATAGGAATGCAAATATTTAGATGTCATGACGTCAAAATTACATTTTATCCTTTTATTAGGTAATAATGCTTGGAAACTTGCATGGTATTACATTTGAAGGTCACGTGCAAAAGCGTACTTCCGTCTACGAGGGCGGTTGGGGTTGAGGGGTGGAGCTTTATGATTCTTAGATTGTTGTCATTCAACATCGTAATTGCCTCAGTAAACGGGTTATTAATAACCAGACCGGCAATTAATTGATAATTCCAAATGGCACCCTGCATCAGAAGGTGACAAATTTCATCACGCTTACTGGCGAACGAGATACTCATTTCTACACCTCAGTGATCCGGTTCTATTAATACTTCACAAAGTGACACCAGAGGGCGCTGACAGTAATAAGGATGACCTTGGGCGCCACCTATCGGCGATGGCGATCCTTGCATGATCAATAGCCGTGGGGACAGAGAGGTCCAGTAATGCTAGGCGTTAAATATAGATTAGTAATCGCATTATACCCGACTTGTCACACGGCCGTGCGCAGACCCTAGTCGGACGCTAGTTACCGAACCTTACATTTCCTTCTAGCAGGATTGGTTACAGTAAATATCGTATCGCCATACTATATCAGCTCGGCTATTCCTACAAACTGTATATCGACTTTCTCAAATTATACCGTAAGAATATATTATAAAGCCGTGAAACATATACACCTGGTTGCTAACAGAAATAACACACATCCTTGAAAGATAAACGGTTGGTTGGTTAAAGAATATAAGTTTATCTCTACCACTGTCGTCAATGTTAAAGTGTCCACGTATCCAAGTCAGCGCCAGGATCTCTTCAAAATCTGTGGAACCGGCCCTTGTTGGTTACATGGAGATACGATATAGGCATGTCATATGTAGACCTGGTTGGTTACAGAAATAACATACAATCTTGAAACATGAAGAGCTGGTTGTGTAATGTAAACATTTTTAGCGCCGCTCTGTGGAAAGTCAATGTTAAACTATCCAATTTGGCGCAACATCTCTTCAAAGGGTGTGGAACCGGTCCTTGTTGATTACAGAGATACGATATAGGCATGTATATCGTAGCCCTGGTTGTTCATACAAAAACGATACAGCCAAGTTGAATTCTATTTGGATCCAATTGGTCACAAAACAAAACATGATATTTTTTTGTCCAAGGTGTCATAAAAAATGCGATATGGCCATGTTGCGGAAAGACAAGGTTGGCTACTCACATACAGTAAACTACGGTTATAACGAACACGCTTATAACGAACTGACGGATATAACGAACTTACTTTTTTGGTCCCGACTACTTGCTGTAGTTATGTTGTATATATGCTTATAACGAACTACGGTTATAACGAACTAAAATTAGTAGTCCCTTTGAGTTCGTTATAACCGTAGTTTACTGTACAATTTAGCCACGTTATGTAAAGACCCGTTGGGTAACGATAAGTACATTTATGCTGTGTCAAACATGATGGTCCGACCAGTGCTACCACAGCGATACATGTAAGCATCCACGTCATTGACCAGGGTGAGGTGAGGTGAAATTGGGTTTAACGTCGCGTCCAAGATTATTGCACTTATATAGCGACGTGCATGCACGTGTATGTGTGTGTGTGGCTGCTTGTACTAGTCCGGACTGATGCCGATTTATAGTGCTAGCTCACTGAGATACCATGCCGCAGTTTAACATGAATACCCCACTCAGACACAGTATACTGACTCCGAGCCGACCAGTCCTTGTTTTAGCCCCTTAATGCCGAGCGCCAGACAGGGTAACAACAAGTACAATCTGTTAACGTCTTTTTGTATGACGCGGCCCGGGATCGAACCCTGGACCTTCCGCTCTCCGGGCGGACGCTCTACCACTAGACCACGGAGGCGGTCCATTGACCAGGGTAACCTTCACACTGTTATATATAAACCAAACCGTAAACGACATTTATTCCAAAAATGTCTGAACCTACTGAAATTATCTATCGTTAATTACAAGTATAAATGGCTACTTCTTACGCAACATCCTGCCTGCATATTATCTAAAAAACACGTGCCACTTAACACTATCCATCATTTGACTCAAACGTGCTTTTTTAAAGGTCGCTCTTGTTAAACACCACCTAGGTATAGGGGTTGTAAAATATGTAATGATTATCCTGTACCGTCTCCCGTCAGAAAACACGTGATATATTGTACGAACCTCCTTATCAATATAAGTAGACTGCTTAAATAACTCTGCAGGGAGAACATCCATACAGTGTCCATTCCAATGACATTTATCATTTTAGAACGCTCAGCTTCCAGGATGACGGATTTATCATCCTCCAAATTCCAGGAACTCCGGTGCGTGCATGACTGTAAAGAAGTGTTAAGAAAGTGGAAGAATCACGTTTATCAACTTGAATTGGGAAAACTATTCCTCATATAGAAATGTCCCTTTCCTGCACTGATAAATCAAAGAGTACGAGTCTTTAAACACCAAAAATGCCTGTAGTGAGTGAGTGAGTTTGGTTTAACGCCGCTTTTAACAGTTTTCCAGTTATATCAGGGCGTGTCAGCTTAATATAGGACAAAAACCCGAAGTGATGCAGGTCTCAGACGTTTATCACTTCGGTGAAACCCACGAGCACGGGTATGGTGCTGACAAACCTAGAAGAATAATCGGGGCGAACCGCGATTCGAACCAACAATCATTGGTTTCTGGCGTGCCCAAGGGACGCAACTCTGCACAGCGAATCGTTGCGCCTTAGACGACTGGGCCACCCGTGCCCTCCAGAATGCCTGTCGGGCAGGACACCTGGTACCATCACTGATTTTTCAGTGGTCCATTCATATGATTTTCACCGCAAGTTTGCCTTTTAGGCTGAATCGAATCTGTTTCGTTGGATAATCGAGACTGGTTATTCTCAGGCGTTGACGTTGCATATTTAGATGTGTGTGTTAGCAATAGTTTATCGGTAGGAATTTATAGTTTCATTGTAAGGAGTTTGGTTCATATATTTTTATGTATTAATCCATTAACGACCTGATTTAAATGTACTGGTCGCCAATTGTGTGTTAAACAGTTAAACCTAACTCAGTATAAAACTGTGGTATCAATCCTGCCTTTAAAATGGCCCGGGTGACACAGGTGCTGCATTTCGCTATAGACATTACTGCCACGCTGTTATAAAACTAATATGCTCTTTAACCCAACCCAACTCACTAACTCACTCATCACACAGAAATATCATATCCATTTGTTCAAAGTATCCATATTTTCTAACTCACTCACACACTCACATAAATGCCCCAGTGAGAGAATTGGATTGTAAGACCAAATGTAAGAAATATATGGACATTTCTTAATCATAAATTGAAAGTGACATTATTTGAAATATGACCATCACACGATATAAATCAGGAATACTTTCAACGGCTTTTCCATTGAACGATTCCGACAACATAATAAGCATGTGTTTATGAGTGAGTGAATTGGGAGTGTTTATGAGTGAGTGAGTTAGGTAAAACACGGCTTTTAACAGCATTCCAGTTATATCAGGGCGTGTCACCTTGATGTGGGAGAAAAATCCCGAAGTGATACAGGACGGTGACCACCTTGGTGAAACCAACGAGTACGGGTATGGTGCTGATAAACCTAGAAACATATTCGGGGCGAACCGGGATTCGAACCTACAATCATACATTTCTGGAATGCAGAAGGGGGGCACCCTTAGACTGGGCCATCAGTGCCCCCATGTGTTTATGAATCCACATCAGTTAGTGATTATGCCAGCAGCTCTTGTACGTGTTATTTAAGCATGGACATTAGTGTAGAACAGAGTGGTAACATGGTACTACCTGTTAGTATTAATTTGTAGATAGCTCTTCTCAACAGCGAGGTGGACTGTCCATACGCATTGAATAACTGTTGTTTTTTCTCTTCACAGATACATCTATATGGGAGGACTGGTGGTCCTACGAGGGCATATCCGGTAAGAGATACTCCATAACCGTACTCAAAATTTTGCACTCGTGTAAACCATACACAAAATGTCAGGTGTACAAGTAGCAAGCCACAGTTCCATACTTACATTCACGACTAGAGATGCCAGCCAAATACGTACGATGCCACATTTTTCACATGTGTATTAGCCACAAAACGAATACCAACCGGACGAGTACCTAGAGTCTACATTTACAACAAGAAATAAAAGCGACAAAACGCATATTCATTAGAAATCAGATTGTACGATTCCGACTATATCATGTTTTTTTGATTGACTACCAAATTTTGATGATACCAGGAGTTCGCGAAAAGGCCATACCGGTTGCATCCGTCACAAAGACATGCAAAGGCAAGTCAATTGTTCACCTGAAAAAACACGGGAACATATGCTACAAGTCAAAATAGGAAATTGCATCAGACATCATTTTAGGCACTTCAAATTTGGAAATGTCCACAAAGTGTCTTTCGTACAACGTTTTGATGGCTTTACTGAGGCCTTGAAAGTTGTAACCCTGACCAAACAATTTTGTCTCTGATCAAATTTGGAAATGTCCTCCGCAGGTACATATTTACCATGAAACTTTTTGAAAGTTTCACTGAAGCATTAAATGTTGTAACCTTCCTCAAACATCTTCTGAGCAAGTGGCGATGACATTCTTTGAAGTCTTGGTAGAAAGAGCATGCTCGTTTGTATCTCAAAAGTTGTGAAATGAAAACGCTGGAGCTGCTTGAATATTGCTCGACATGAAGGGAAGTTGGCTATTGGAATGTTGAAGTCATCCCTCTTGTCATCTCATTCTTGACCATCATTCGTTACCCAAAACACAACCGTAAACGGCTTGACTTCCTTCTGATCCACTGGTGATGATATCAGGGACGATTATTTTGTTGCCAGGTTCATAGACATTTAAAAAAACAAAACGTGGAAATTACGTCAAAGTCACTATTTATTTTAGGAATGCCAAGATATGAGTTTACTCCTCCCATGTGTTTCGTATTGTAAATATCATAACAATCTGAGGAAATCATAATTAGTCTGTTCCTCATTTCCCTCATACACCAAAGACCCTGCACCCACACCCGCACCCACACCCTCACATACACCCACATTCGCACAGCCACACCTTCACCAACAACTATATAGACACACACCCACACCCACACCCACACCCACACCCACACCCACACAACCCACACACGCACAGCCCCACCTTCACCCACAACTACATAGACCCCACACCCACACCCACACCCACACCCACACCCACACCCTCACATACACCCATACACGCACAGCCACACCTTCACCCACAACTACATAGACACCCACCCACACCCACTCCTACATCCCAACCCTCACGCACACCTACACCTACACACGCACAGCCACACCCCACACCCACCCACCCACCCCCACCTTCACCTACAACTACATACACACACACACAACCACACGCACACACATACGACCGCACCCACATCCACCCCCACTCACACAGCCACAACTACACACACACACACACACACACACACACACACACACACACACACACACACACACACTTTACACTTTAAGTAGCCATTAAACTTTAATATAATTATTAAAAAGACAAAACACTATCATTATATAACGATAATAGGATACATATTTTAACCGATTGTGACGTTTGATGGGGCGTAGATAGGAACACAACATAATAAGACTTGAAAGACTGAATTCACAAGAATAATCCTTTGTGCAATGGTAGCAGCACCAGTGATCTATCTGGTTTTGTGAACACCCTACAGTACAGTTGATACTCGTTTTCATCAATATCACATTCCCTTCCTAACAAAGCAGTAAAATATTACGTCTAGCCGTTTGTCATTAATTCAAATGTCAATCCGTTCGGATCAACAGTCGATGTATCGTTACAAGCACCGAATAATACCAATATGACATATGTAAGTCAACTTATAGGACTTCAGGGAGTAATAATCCAGATTTATGAGTCGTTACTAGATACATGAAATATGTATCAGTTTTCAATTTGTAACTTACTCCATATGGGATTTGATGGCGTTAAGTCGCTATTTAATCTCATATGAAAGGAGATCCTCGTAATAGTATACAGCAGAATAATAATGGAGTACATCAGTGCATTGAGACTTAACTGGACGCTATGGGAGACCAAATACCAAGTACTGAATAACGACTGGGCTCAGGATTGAGTAAACAACGAGAAGTCATGAAACACAATCAATAGAACTTATTACGAACATGATATGAGGTGTAGATAAACCGTAGATTCCTGTGTTTGGGGGACAAGATACTGTTCAAATGTTGCAATCCGAACACGGGCGACTGATTGGTTTACTTCTCACAGTGACTGGTATTAATAAGATGTAATATAAATTTCTGAAATATTTTCAGAATTTCTTATACCAGAGGTCTCTGATGGCTGTTTATTTTTAGAAGTGGAATAGATTCGTCTAGCTGTATCCCTGAGCTTAGTTCATCAACTTCAAATATGAAATTAGAAAATGACGTCTTCACGTCAATCCGCGGCAAGATCAAGAGTGTGTCAGATGTGGCCACCATTACTGTACTACTGCTACTACTACTACTACTACTACTACTACTACTACTACTACTACTATTATTTTTTTTATTATTATTATTATTGGGGCGGTCGGGTAGCCTAGTGGTTAAAGCGTTCGCTCGTCACGCCGGAGAACCGGGTTCGATTCCCGACATGGGTACAGTATGTGAAGCCCATTTCTTGTGTTCCCCGCCGTGATATTGCTGGAATATTGCTAAAAGCGGCGTAAAACCGTACTCACTCACTCACTCACTACTTTTATAATAACTACTACTGCTACTATTACTACTACTACTACCACTACCACCACTACCACCACTACTACCACTACTTCTGCTACTGCTGCTGCTGCTACAACTACTACACTTATTACTACTGCTACTGCTACTTCTATGACTACTGCTACTGCTACTACTATGACTACTACTACTGCTACTAGTACCATAACTATTTGGTTTTGGTCTCTGATTCCCAGCTTCTGGTTCATGATCGCCAGTTTCTTGTTGTGGTCCCTGGTCCCCAGAGTCTGGTCTCTGATCTCCAGTATCTGGTTCTGATCCCTGGTCCCCAATCCCTGGTCCCTGATCTCCAGTATCTGGTTCTGATCCCTGATCCCCAATCTCTGGTCCCTGATCTCCAGTTTCTGGTTCTGATCCCTGGTCCCCAACCCCTGGTCTCTTATCTCCAGTATCTGGTTCTGATCCCTGATCCCCAATCTCTGGTCCCTGATCTCCAGTATCTGGTTCTGATCCTTGGTCCCCAATCCCTGGTCTCTTATCTCCAGTATCTGGTTCTGATCCCTGGTCCCCAAACTCTGGTCCCTGATCTCCAGTATCTGGTTCTGATCCCTGGTCCCCAATCCCTGGTCTCTTATCTCCAGTATCTGGTTCTGATCCCTGATCCCCAATCTCTGGTCCCTGATCTCCAGTTTCTGGTTCTGATCCCTGGTCCCCAACCCCTGGTCTCTTATCTCCAGTATCTGGTTCTGATCCCTGATCCCCAATCTCTGGTCCCTGATCTCCAGTATCTGGTTCTGATCCCTGGTCCCCAATCCCTGGTCTCTTATCTCCAGTATCTGGTTCTGATCCCTGGCCCCCAAACTCTGGTCTCTCATCTCCAGTATCTGGTTCTGATCCCTGGTCCCCAAACTCTGGTCCCTGATCTCCAGTATCTGGTTCTGATCCCTGGTCCCCAATCCCTGGTCTCTTATCTCCAGTTTCTGGTTCTGATCCCTGGTCCCCAATCTGTGGTCCCTGATCTCCAGATTCTTGTTCAGGTCCCTAGTTCCACAGTTTCTGGTCCCCGATTTCTGGTTTCTGGTCCCCGATCTCAGATCCCTGGCCCTACACTCCCAAAGGTAGTTGATCATGGGGTGGACACACACCCTCCAGGGGAAATATATTTCAGATAGACACAAATTATACGACGGTATTCGGGGGTACCTGTCAAACACCGTTAAGCTGGATCGGACTTTTTTCTATGAAAACACATTACTGGTTTAACGAGTCTCGAGTAACATCCCCTGAATATATGCAATCGTTCGGTTCCGTGGCGTGGCGTCAAGGTAGACTAGGCCGCTAGATCTTTGATCTTGTGATAAAATGTAAATTGGAAATTAGTGAGTATACTATTAATGACATCGGTCATATTTCACCCTGACGAACGTAACATCATAAGTTCTGTCAACGAGAGATAGCTGCTTATGAATTACGAAAGTCGATAGATATAACAAAACAGTTTATGCATCCCGTGAACGAGTGGAGGAAATGCAATGCATTCATAACGCCATATATAGCATTTTGTGAATGATAATATCTTTTGAAAGCAGACGATTATTGCCTAACGCGACGATTAATGTTTGATACGGAAAGTTTCGTGACAGTAGGACAATAGATATTAAGTCACTACTGCAAGTATGGAGAATTTATTTATTTTTCGGAATCTACTAACCCGTCATCATTTCCATGAAAACATTATAAATAGGGTCCAAAGAAGAAATCCATTTTGGAACGAGTTTCGTTCACGTGACTGTCACATAACACTCAAAACCAAGGGGAATAATCACCCTCTGATTAGTTGTTGAAAGTGTTTCTGTTGTTAGATTCCCAAATTTAAACACTATCTTAACCCAGAAGTCTGTACGTAAAAGAACCTAGTGTCAACCAACAAACAACTAACAAGCGGTATACAATCAACAATTGTATTACAAAAAATAACTAGGTTTACAAATCAATACAAATTACTGCACAGCAGTTACAATGGCAGTACACAACAGAGTGGTAGTACAATATTCAATAGCATTAACAAATATGGTGGCAGTGGTCAGTGTCAAATATAAAATACAGTGGTGATAGTAGAAGTCAGTGATAATAACATGTCTTCACCAAGCAGCGCCAAAGGACAA